TCAGACTTTAGGTAAGTGCGCAAAATACTTCTCCAAAGTGAATGAGGTAGGTCTTTCAATTCCCAGTGAACTGGCAGTGTCTTCTGATAACGCTAAAGTGGAGTCTTCAGAGAAAGCTGAAATTTTGGAAGGCTTGTACTTGTCACATGAGCTTCAAGTTTCCAAAGTAATTTACATGGTTTCAAATTGACATGGATCTATTGAAAATAATTATCTGAAATGACTCTTAAAATACTTTTTCTCCTATACAGACTGGTGTAAGGCTATATTTTTTCATTTACTACAATGAAAGTAATACATTCTAACAAAATGAATATGTAAACAGATATGAGAATCCAGTTGCTTCCTATAAATCAGTTTAAAGGGGACTTGCAAACACATAAAACAATGAATCTTTTATTTTTGTGGGGGTGGATTTGGGAAAATAGTCACTAATGTGGGTTATTTTGGACTGCTGCTAAATGATTTTATTTTAAAATAAATGTTTTAGAAACCCTTGGTTTCAATTTCTAGGAAAACAAATATGCACAGAAATAGCTTACAGATTAAAAAAAATCCTTCAAGTGTCCTCAATCCTTTTTAAGACAGGGTGCTAAGACCTAAAGTTTGAGAACTATCAGCCTTTCCAACATGCCGTAAGTCATTTACGAGTACCGTGCACGTGTAGTCCTTGGTCATGCCATCAGGCGGGTCTTCATGCAGTGTCAGCGCTCTGTGATTTCTGGGGAAGTACTGCCAAGACACTGCATCATGTGCAGCAAGAGCACTTGAGCTCCACCCCTAGTCTCCTGCTTCAGAGGCAGGAGTTAGACTTTAGAAACTCAATGCACTTAGCTGTGAACAGGATGGCAACGACTATAAGCACCAAACGAGAAGATCCAAGTAAGAGGAGAGATTTGCCAGTAAATTCCAACAGTCAGCTTAGTGATCTACTTCCCTTATCTCAGTGAAGTCCCTGGAGTTTCCACATAACATCCATGATGCCACTAAATCCTTCACAATCATTCAGAGAAACACCCATTTACATAATGGCTGAGAGAGCGACTTAACATGTTCATGGCTTTTAGAATCACCCTTTCAGAAGCTCCTAAACATGATTATGCTTGTGGCACCAGTTATTTACAATTAACACAACTGATAATTTTTTCCCCATCTAGAGACACAGTTGAGGCAAAAAGGTAGTGTGAGATTTGCCCTCCAAGCCCATTCTTTTCTTCTATAAAATAAGTAATGCTTTAGTGCAAACGATTAAAATACCATTTATAAGCAGTATCTTAATAATGCCATTTTCAATACAATTTAAACAGGGCACGATTGAAACAATTTGACTTAGAAAGTCTAAGAAATTTACAAGTACATTGTGTTTTGCCCAATTCTACCACTATGTGTGTGACCAATTATCATTTAATGTTTCTAGTCTGCCCCAGTCTAACACCTTCTGAGGCTTCTGTCCCCATGGGGAGCATCCAGAGCTCCGACTGAGTGGGACGATGCTCCTTGACAAAGCTCCTCAGCTAGGAACTCTAGGAACTGCAGATGTTGACAGCAGATGCACAAACTACTCTCCTGGCTTCCCCAGGTTCAGGGTGTGGCCCCAACAATCTGTCTCCTTCCACGGTAAAGCATAAAAAGAGAAGCAGCAAATTGCTAGCTGTTGTCAGGTTGCATAAACTGCTGGGATTGCTTTTTCTTCTTAGACTGCATTCCCTTAGTAAGCAAGTTACAGCATAAACCAACTTTTTTTAAAAACTTGGTTTCCTCATCAGGAATGCTACTGACACTTCTCAAAATGAGTTAGTTTTTCTAGCAATTTCTTTCAAATTTTTCTTGGGTTCACATTCCTTAACAAAAAGCTTGTGGCTTATTAGGTTGCAGGACCCCCAGTACTCCAAGGAGGGTTGGGCCTGGTAAGGGTTCTCAGAGATCTCCAAGCGTAGGCAGCAGCGTGAGATCCAGGGCTGGTGGTGGGAAAGCCACTGCATCTTCCAGCAATGAGAGCCAGGACTGAGGACCGGCCTGCTGAAGTTCTTGGGGGTCTCTCAGCTTCGGCATCAGCTGGCTATGAGAGCCAGGACCAAGGACCAGCCTTGTGGGGAATTCTTGAGAGTTTATTTGACAAGGCTGCGGCACCTGATCCCCGACTTCAGGGAACACCACATAGTTGTATGGTCCAGTCTCGGAGCACATGTTGCTAGACTGGGCCACCGCTGGTGCTGACTTTCAGGCAAGGATAGAGAATACACACAGATGCACACAGAAGACAAGACAGCTGGCTCCTCTTAATTCAACAGAAGATTTTAAGTACCTCGTCAACAGGTGGAAAGAAAAACACATAGCGGGCCCGGCGCGGTGGCACAGTAGTTAAGGTCCTCGCCTTGCACGCCCCGGGATCCCATATGGGCGCCGGTTCTATCCCGGCAGCCCCACTTCCCTTCCAGCTCCCTCCCTGTGGCCTGGGAAAGCAGTCGAGGACGGCCCAAAGCTTTGGGACCCTGCACCCGCGTGGGAGACCCGCAAGAGGCTCCTGGCTTCGGATCGGCATAGCATCGGCTGTTGCGCTCACTTGGGGGAGTGAATCATTGCATGGAAGATCTTTCTCTCTGTCTCTCCTCTCTGTATATCTGCCTTTCCAATAAACAAAGAAAATAAAAAAATAAATCTTTAAAAAAAAGAATATACAGTAGCGTTAGAAAAAAATTTCTCACCTCTCATACAAGGAATCCAACAGCTTTTCAGAACAAATATCACTCAAGCAACACCCTCAGGACAATCTTCCCCCATCAGGGTCCCTAAGGCGACATTGAAAATCTATCTCTGTTCCCTAGCACTGATACAGTCTGAACTCGAGAGGCTCCCAATCTCCCAACCCTCCACTACACACAGACAGGAAGGAAGGTGGAAGTTTTTCAGTCAATTCAGTCCCCTCCAATCTCTCTCCATCCTAATTAGTAGCCCACATATGTCTGCAATCTCCTCATCTTTGTAATAAACATTAAAAAATTAATTTTTAAAAAGACCAGTAGCTTGTAGTATTATGGGTGGACTACCTATGTCAGCACTTGTTCCAGGTTGAGAAATGGAGCCAGGAAGACACTGTGACAAAGGCCATGTATAGTGCAGCAGTAGGGACAATGTACCTGGAGACCCTGTGTGTATGAACAGGCTAACATCACATGAGGCAGCAATGCTGCAGGGCTGCTGTAATATGATCAATGAGCTAGTCACGATGAAGCACCCAGCACACTGCCAGGTTCATGAGAGACAGTCAACAAAGACAAGCTGGTGTTTACATGGAGAAGGGCACACACAGATATCAGATGTCTGAGTAGCCACTAGCTCATGCACATACACATATACACAGATAGGATCTGCAGGGTACCAAAGCGTAGAATGGATCAGCAATCTTGCAGGCATTCAACATGGACTTACGCCAAATAAAGCTTAACTTCTGGAAACTAAAAGAGCAAGGAAAATGCCCACCTCAGGAGAAATGGAACTTTCTCTGAGATTCTCTAAGATGAACTTCTTGCTAAGTTCTTGCTTCCCTTTTCGTCTTCCCACTACTCCACCCTATGAGGAGCTCATCATCAGAAGTGCAGGCAACCCCAGGGGGACGTGGGAACATGAATCCTCTTCTGAATAAAGGATGCTGGACTGACCTAAGACTTACAGAAACAGCACTGATTTGTTAAATCTAAAAGTATATGATCACTGGGTCCTATGTTCACCATTATTCAAGTTTTGGAAAATCAGAGCTATCTCTTTCTTTTCTTGTACTGAATAAGACTAATTCAACGCCATAAATGGCAAATTAGAATTAATTGTGAGGCAGACAGACATAGAAACACATATTAATCTAGTAGGACAGAATAAAAGAACATTTGGATTGGTCAAATATTCAGGTTAACAGTAGAAAGGTGGCTGTCATTTTTCAAGCAGGCTTTTAACCTGAAGCTAAACTGTACCAAGTGGATAATTTAACACTTATTTTTTAAAGGAATATATTTGTTAATATATTAGATTTTCAGGGTCATAGCAAATGCATGATAATTACTGTAACACAATGCTCATTGATTCTCATGGAAATGTGATATTAATACAAAGAGAACAGATGCAATATTGTTAAATGATATAATTCTAAAAACATAATGTGTATCAAATGGATTTATGACAAGATTATCACCAAGGGCACAGAAATCTTTTTGATATATGTATGACTGATGTCTTGAGTTTGAGTTCTAGGTCTGTACAGGAGGCAAAGGTGCCAGTGGCGAAAGGGGTGGAGGGTGGAGGAGGGAGACCCTCTTCTCTAGGGAAGGGCCCACTCTGAGGGACACTAGGACACACACCATTTTCCTCTGGCATCTTTAAACTCCCTGAACCCCCATATTTTGGGATTTCGGAGAGAAAAAAAATATAAAGCTTCACTTAATTAGATGTTTTCATTATAAGGAACAATTCAGGAAGTTCAGGTGGTGGGGCACAGAATTGAAACTCCCTACAAATGACTGCATGAGACTTGGGGAGGCGCTTCAACACAATAATGTGGGCCCATCTCTGCCTGGCAGTGAACTCCCACTAGGGACAGCACCTCCTATGCCCCTCAAACCTTTACCCTGGTGAGAGTTAAAAGATGTTGGTGGGGGCTGAGTTTGTAAATCACAGCCTAGTCACATAACCCTCACCACCTACGTGAGACCCAGGACTAGAAATAAAATCAGTAGGGCAATGTCAAACACAATTCAAACAAAGTAGCTTGTCTAACTTCAATAAATCTACCCTAGCACCAGTTGGCAAAACATACAAATTCTAGGAATTTCACAGTGGGATTCTTAAAAAAAAAATTATGATCTGTAACATGTGAGCCAAAGCTTTGAAATTTAAATTTTTTCGCAGCCAGGACCAAGGGCTGGAGGGAGGATTACTGAATTGCTCTCTTTATATGATCTTATACTTCAGTCAGGGTACGAGTCTTCGTTCATCCTGCATAAAAGGCTTACCAGATTTTTCAGCAGTGTGGACAGTTCCTTTGTAAGAGTTGAAAACTTGACAAAAGCGGTGCCAAGATCAGGGTTGTCTCGACTTAAAAAATTACTCCCAAACTTATCAAGAATTTGGGCATAGTTTTCTTCATTTTGAACGTGATCTAAAAAAGTAAAGAAACGGAGTGTGAGGCATTATTTTCAATAAGGAAGAATCATTCTGAACACTGAACACTACAACGTAGAAAAGGAAAGTGAGGAAGTCATCTCTGACTCAATGAGTGGCACTTCCAGGGAATGCTTGGCAGTACAAAGAAACTTCTAGAAAAGTGGAGCATCCCTTTTTCGTTATGAGCAAATAGTTTAGTTATATACCAATTAATTTATTGACTCTTCATATTTTGAGAGGTCAAATTATCACATTGTCAAATAATTCCTACTTGTCAGATAACAAGGACAAAGTTTCCATTACTTCAGCTGTCAAAGATAAATTCACCTGTTGTCACCTGTTTCCCTATAATTAACCTTAGCTCTCTCAGGCTGCCCACGTGTGAGGAAGCACACTTTTAGAAGGCTCCTCCCGTAACATCTTGCTGCAAAATGTCCAAGCTTGGACCAGAGACATGCAGGTTTCAGTCTGATTTCACCATGTGTGAGCCAGTGGGCCTCTAAGCTGCTGCTTTAACTTCCAGGACTGCACAACAGCTAACAGAGTGGGAGCAATCACCAGGCATCCGTGAGCACATCTGTCCTTGACTGAGCGTCTGCTTTTCTAACCTATAAAATAAGGCTGAGCTCTACCGCACGAGACTGGTGGATGAGTTGGCATCAGTCACACAAAAGCGTCTCTGAGAGTGAACAAGCCACAGGTGGTAATTTTTACTTTTCTTGGCTCCCGGCTTGTCTCACCCTCTGTATGGACTCGGACCCCAGGACTGCTCTGTGCCACAGACTTTGCTTGCTCCCTGAGCTCAGCTCTGGTGCAGCGCCCGAAGCCTCACATTTATTCTCTTACTGTTGGTCTATGCCCTTAATCTTATAGTTTGAAATATCTCACCAAAGATAACTTCCATATTGACACCTCCAGGCTTGAAATAGGTCCTCCACCCCTGAAGACAGACACTTTCACATACAATTGAGTATTTAGCATGATGCCCACTAATTATTTTCAATGTTAACATGTCTGAAATAAGCTCTTGGTTTTCCTCCCCAACCATGCTTCCCACTGAGTCACACTTGAGTCTTTTTTGCTCTCGTTCCCCAAATACCTGGGAAATTCTGTTGTCCCTACCATTCACTAGTACACAGTTTGACAACTTCTCACTAGCACCGTGGCTACTGACCTTAGCCAACACCACGTCTTGCCGCAGTCACTGCCCATCCTTCCTAACTGGTCTCTCTTATTCTTGCTTCCCTACAGTTTGTTATACACAGCACAGTGGGTGACACTGTTGGATGCATGGCAGATCTTGCAGCCCCTGTGGCAGACATTCCCATTCACCAAGGATAATCCACGCTTCCAATTCCTGTGGGTCTATGAAACAGAATATCATACTTCTCCACACTCTTGAAGAAAAGCATGGAACATGGCTCACACTAAGCAAGGCACTGTGAGTGGAGGGCCCACCTCCCTGACCCTCTGCTGCAGGACACAGAAGCATGCACCTGTGCGCTTGGTCCACAGAAGGTGTGGGAGATTGAGTGACTGAATAGGAGATCGATTAAAGTAACAGCTTTAATGGTCTATACCCAACAGGACGTTCTTTACAAAGCCTTCCCTGAGCTGCACATAGCCATTCCTTGCTCATCACACATTCCAGCACTAATTACATTCCTATATACACACACCTCTGCCAGCAGATCACAAAGATTGCCTCTTGATTCACTTCTTTTTTAAAGATTTATTTATGGGCCTGGCGCGGTGGCACAGTAGTTAAGGTCCTCGCCTTGCACGCCCGGGATCCCATATGGGCTCCGGTTCTAATCCCGGCAGTCCCGCTTCCCTTCCAGCTCCCTGCCTGTGGCCCGGGAAAGCAGTCGAGGACAGCCCAAAGCTATGGGACCCTGCACCCGCGTGGGAGACCTGGAAGAGGCTCCTGGCTTGGGATCGGCATAGCATCGGCTGTTGCGCTCACTTGGGGAGTGAATCATGGGACGGAAGATCTTCCTCTCTGTCTCTCCTCTCTGTATATCCGCCTTTCCAATAAAAAAAAAAATAATAATAAAAATAAATCTTTATAAAAATAAAAAATAAAAAAAGATTTATTTATTTATTTATTTATATATAGGGGGGAGAGACAGAGAGGAAGATCTTCCTTCCGATGATTCCCCAAGTGAGCACAACAGCCAGTGCTGTGTCGATCCGAAGCCAAGATCCAGAAACTTCTTCCGGGTCTCTCACACAGGTGCAGGGTCCCAATGCTTTCAGCCGTCCTCGACTGCCTTCCCAGGCCACAAGCAGGGAGCTGGATGGGAAGTGGAGCTGCTGGGATTAGAACCGGTGCCCATATGGGATCCCGGTGCGTTCAAGGCGAGGACTTTAGCCACTAGGCCACACCGCTGGGCCCTTGATTCATTTCTGAACTTTCACCTAAGAGACACCATTGCATGTTCTCCAGTGAGCTGGTTAAGGGAGCTGCTAGTCAGTAAATGTTTGTTGGCTCGAATTCACTGAACTCATTTATGAGAATTTAAGAAACAGTAAATCTTCTAGGTTGATTAATAGTTGAGATGATTTTTTTTCCTAAAAACATTTCACTTCCAAACCTTCCCTCAATAGACACACTTGTGAAACAGAACATGAGTCTGGATCAGGGAATAACCCGAAGTCTAAACACAACAAAGGAAACACGTGTCACAGCAGTGCGGAGCAGTGGAAGGAGGCACTAGCTGCCTTCTCCTCATCACATCAAAGTTCAGGATGCCTGCAGTGCTGGCAGCATGTGGAGCTGACACACACACAGATAAAATGTAACTCTGATTACTGCCCAAGTCCACTCAGCCAACAGCTCAGAAAAACACAAAAGAAAGGGCAGGGCAGCTCAACAGACAGGCTGAACATGTCTGATCACTGCCATAAACCGGAGCTAGCCCTGATACCTGGAATCTGAGGTCAGAGAGGCCTCCCCTCGCCTCCGCTCGCCTCCGCTTCCCACAGCCAGAGAACACAATCCAGTTGCCTGTTCATTATAAACAGTTCCAAGGGAGATACCTCTGCAGGTAACAATTCTTATCAGCTTTTTGTTTGTCTGCTTGATATACAATATTTCAAATAAAACACACTGAAAAATTTAGATGAGCTGAATCCTCACGTATCCAACATCAACCAACTTTAAGAAGTATTATAGAACTCTTCCCTGCTCTATCCAATTCCAATCTCATTTCTTCCTTCTTAGCCAATTCTCAACCTGTATTTCATGCAAAGACTAGAAAGAATTTCAAGAAGCCATCAGATCATCAGTAATACTATATTAATTTAAAGAATAAATTGGGCTCTGCTTATGGCCAGGGCAGACAGGCCAACGGAATGAGCAGATCCTTCTCTGACCCAAGTGCTTTCTAGCATCCTCTCCTTGACCTTCACCAGAACTCTGCAAGGAAAGGACTGTGCATCCTAGGTAGCTGGAACAGAAAGTGTGATATGCGAGAAGCTGAAGGTGAGCTTGGATATGTAAGCTCAGGCTACGTCACGCACTCCCTATACAACACATGTATGCAGACACAGATGTCCTAGTAAGCTTAACAAAGTTTGGAAAGATACATCTTGAAGTGACTGTATCTTGAGGCTAATAATAAGGCAGAAACACAGAAATAAAAATGTGAGTTTCCCAAAATGGTGGCTAGCACGTAGCACATACCCCCAAATGTCTGCACTCATAAATAGTTAATACAGAAAGGTATCACCACACATCACAGAAAGACAGGTCTCTGGAATTTTAATTTTTTTTAACATAAAGCATTATAAATCTAGTGATGGTAACTTAATAGAAAGTCTACACACACACACTCAACACACACACATAAAACTTTATGCAAATTAAGGACTGTCAAGAGGCACACAGTAAGTAACAGGGCAAGGAGAAATGATAGAAGAAGAAAGAGTGGGCAGGGGCAGAAGGGTGTGTGATAATAACGAATGACTGATCATTTAAGAGGAGGGCAAGAAAGGCTGAGGAAGGGGCACCGTCCCAGGAATGTGTGTGACTAAGGACAGGGACTCTGGGCCTGAAAACGCCAGCTTTGTTTTAAGATCTTCACTATGGAGCCCAGCGTGGTAGCCTAGCGGCTGAAGTCCTCACCTTGCATGCGCCAGAATCCCATATGTTCTAATCCAGGCTGCCTCACTTCCTATCCAGCTCCCTGCTTGTGGCCTGGAAAAGCAGTTGAGGAAGGTCCAGAGCATTGGGACCCTGCACCCGCATGGGAGACCCGGAAGAAGCTCCTGGCTCCTGGCTTCGGATTGGCGCAGTACCGGCTGTTGCATCTACTTGGGAGTGAATCATCAGACGGAAGATATTCCTCTCTGTCTCTCCTCCTCTCTGTACATCTGCCTTCCCAATAAAAACAAACAAACCTTTAAAAAAATGTTAAGAAGTTTTAGAGAGAAAGATACGCAAAAAATCTTGCACGCGCTGGTTCACAGCCTAAATTCTTACCCCAGGCCACGCCAAAGGCAGGAACATAGAAGTTCATCGGAGTCTCCCAAGTGGGTGGCAGAGACTTCACTGCCTGAGATACGGCCTTTTGCTTCTAAGGGTGCACTAGCAGGATGCTGGAATCCAAAGTGGAGCAAGAGACGCAAACCAATGTAGACACTGAGGTGGGGCACAGCCACCCCAGCCTGCGTGTTAACGGCGGAACCCTAGGACCCACCCTCAAACTGAGGCCGTTTTGATCCACACAGCTGGAGACTCCCTACATAGGAGAACACACCACCCCTGAGTATGCCAACTGGACAGGCAATCGTTTTGAGTGCAGCAGGAACAGAAGCTCTCTGCCTGTCTTTCTGCCAAAAGCAGGGCACAACGCTCCTCCTGAGGAAACAATTTCCCTCTCCTCCCCTGTACTCTGAGAAAAACCTTTGTCACAGGAGATGGAAATTCAGGACCAAGAGGAGCCTGCAAAGATAAACCTCACTAAAGCCATCCCCACCTGCCATTTGTGT